CCGAAAATTTTAGTTCAGGTTGGGAATGAATCTGACCCGGTCAATCTGAGATCTGATCCGATCTGAAACTGTTCGGGTCAGGTCAGGTCTCAGGTTGACCCGAACTTTAAAATGTTCTGTTGAATGACACGAGTTAATTAATTTGATTATATCATTAGTATAGTATACTATTCATTGATTATTATCTAACTGATACAATTAAATACATTGTAACAAAACAAGATAGTGCCTATTTAATTATATTGTATACGTGGAATGAATTGAAAAATGAAAAGAAAAATATTATTTTTTTTTAGATAAGATAGTAAACCCGACATCATTATAAGACCAAAACTTCACTATAATATTATTCCATCTCATTTTCATCATCTATTTTCCACCAATCCTTTAAACACATGCATGCCGTGATTGACTCTGGTTTTAAATTGCAACATCTGTGAGAAATTAAATCCTGACCACCAGAAAAAATGCGTTCAACTGGAATACTAATAACTATTGGCAAAATTTAAATGTAAAAAGCAGATAATATGTAAATAATAATGATAATAATATACATATCGGGAACCGTCAGATAATCTCAGTTCATTTTGGCTAAGTTTGACAATTCAACTTCGTGAATCTATGTGTATGTTAATATTGGATTATTAAATCAGATAAGAATATAATAATATTTACTTTCCACCATGTTAAGATATTGCGAGTTTTGTACGGATTGGCTGAAGACTCTTTAAGATAAAAATCAAGCTCATTTTGCTTGACAATCTTACGCTTTTTAAAGATGTAAGAAACAAGATCATCTCGCGTCTCATTCACGTTAGTTTCAATTGCTTGATCAGTGGGGAGGTAAGAAGACTTCCACGAATTAGTTATTTGATTCTTGTATGTTTCCATGTAGTCTTCGAACCCGTGTTCTTCATAGTATGATATTTTTAATCGAGGATCTAAAACTAATAAAAAAATTAGAATTAAATTTAAGAAATAAAAAATCAACTGCTCTTCTAACCCGTCCACCCATTCATTAGCAAACTATTTTAGATAAACCCTTTAATATCTGATATCTAAAAAAAGCAATTCACCCTTTCAACCACTAAATACACTCATTTTAAATGAGTCATACTTGTTCTGATGATATATACTAGTCCATCTGTTGTTGGATAATATTCCTCGAGTTTTTCTTTCGTCTGTGTGATTGCATTTCTTAAATCAGAAGGATTTGAAAAATCCTGAAGAAATTCATCTATAATATCAAGAAGGTAGCTGTAGATTGGAACTGCCATTCTGATAATAGGATGCTTTTCAGCACTTATAACTTTTGTAGCTTTATCAAAATACTAAAAAATAAAAATTAACAAATAAATTAAAATTCGCATGAACATTACCGAAAACTCACCTTCATTAAAATCTTGATTTGCTCAATTCGGCTCCATTCAGTGCTTGAAAGCATATACCTAGCCAGGTCTCTATTAACCACTGCTGTATTATCGAGAGGCTAATATACAATTTCAGCGCCAAAAGGTATATAGAATACATTTTGTTATTGCTCAGGGTTTAAATACAAATTAACAATCCTAAAAAAATAATCTTTCAGATCTTATCTCACAAAGTTGGAGAGCTTTTTGCATCATGGTAAAAGTTAAATTCCAACGAATCCTGATATTTGGAATTAATTCAAGCACCTTTACTTCAAGAACATCACACTGGCGAGCAAATCGTTCACGACATTGTGGAGAAGCGTAAATCTTCACAATAAGTTTCCGCAACTATGATTTTCAGACTTATTAAAATAAAAATGCTACTAAAAATCTTAAATACATCCAACTACTCCTAGAGAAGTGACATTCTGATCATCTACTAGCAGGTCATTTTCATTGTTTGGTCCTTCAGCCTTAAGATTTTTCAAAGTATTCTGAGCAACCAAGTTAATAATATGACTGAGACATCGGACTCACTGATTTGGTTGATCAAATTCCACTCCATCTTCAGCATATTTTTCGGTAAAATGAAAAAATATAGTATCATTGTTTGACACGTTGTCCGTGCTTACTCCAAACAACTGATATTATAGAATAGTTAAAATAATAAAATGACGCATTTTAAAAATTAATACAAAGCCAGACCTTTGTTAAGATATCATAATCCTTTAATACTTTATAAAAAGCATCAGCAAGATTATTCTCTGAGTGCAGATCTTGTAGATGCACAAAATCAATGATTGTGCTCTTCATCTCCCAGTCTGCTGTGATTCAATGGGCTGTAATTCCAAGGAAAGGAATTTGAGTCATTGAAGTCCACGCATCAAGAGTAAAAGAGATTCTCCTGGGCACTTCCTAAAAGTGAATAAAGCAATATGTCTTAAATTATATGAAATCATACCAAGCAGGAACAGGTAACATACCTGTAATTTTTTTTGAATTTTATTTTGTTCTTCTATATATATTGTAATAACTTGATTTTGCACAGTGGTGGCTGAAAAAAATTTTACCTCTGAATTAAGAATTCGGGTCAGCTTTCGAAAGAATATTCCTTCGACAACTGTGAAGGACTGATTGTCAGCAGTTATCCATTTAAAAAGTGAAAAGAAATATGCTTCAGGCATGTACGACTATATAAAAGATTCTAAAATTTATCAAATTCTTAAAGAGAAATAAAAATGAAGATAACTTGCCACTTTTTCTAATACAATAGTCAAAAAACGTTCGATATTTCCATTTGATGTCTCTGAATTCCTTAATGAATTAGGATGTTCTTTTCGAAGATGCTTCATCATTGATCCAGTTGACTTGTTTTTAGCAGGTTGATATTCTTTCCTAAAAAAAATAATTTATAATAAATACGTGTCAAAAATCAAAAATCAAAGTTTACCTGCAAAGCTTACACATCATTTTTTGAGTTTCATTATTCAAAATGAAATATTAATGAACTGGCAATGAATATTTGTGAGCTCCATGAGAGACCATAGCACTTTCATTGAGAGTGACATTTTCAGGAGCTTCGAGATTGTTACTATTAATACTTAGACTTCCTGACATACCAACGAACAACTAAAAAATTGATAGTGATAGTACTTTACATTAACTAAACTGAGTTATACCCTAATATACCTATCCTAATTTAGTAAAATGATCTACTAAAAACACCAAAAACTTGTTTTCCACATATAACATAATATTCACTAACGCTAACGAGCCAAGAAACGAAACGTAGCAGTAAATGATGTTTGAATATCTCACCATTAAAGATAAATATATTTTATTACGTGGATAAATGTATTTTATTTATTTATTAATCATATCGATAGATAAAAATAAAGAGACTATTTATTATGTGGTAGTGTAACCAACTTTCTTTTATTACATAATTGTATTACACAGTCATATTATCAACTTCTTTCTTTCATTACACGATTATATTACCAATCTCTTTCTTTTATTACGTGATCATATTACTAACTTCTTTCTTTTGTTACGCAATTATATTACTAATTTCTTTCCTTTATTATGTAATCATATTACCAATGTCTTTCTTTTATTATGCAATCATATTGCCAACTTTTTTCTTTCATTACACAGTCATATTACCAACTTCTTTCTTTTGTTATGCAGTTGTATTACCAACTTCTTTCTTTCATTACACAGTCATATTACCAACTTCTTTTTTTTATTATATGATCGTATCATCAACTTCTTTCTTTTATTACGTATTCATGTTACTAACTTCTTTCTTTCTCTACGTAGTCGTATTACCAACTTCTTTCTTTCATTACGCAGTCATATTATCAATCTCTTTCTTTTGTTATGCAATCATATTACTAACTTCTTTCTTTTATTACACAGTCATATTACTAACTTCTTTCCTTTGTTATGCGATTGTGTTATCAACATCTTTCTTTTATTACGTGATCATATTATCAACTTCTTTCTTTTATTACGCGATTGTATTATCAACTTCTTTCTTTTATTACACGGTCATATTATCAACTTCTTTCTTTTGTTATGCAATCATGTCATCAACATCTTTCTTTTGTTATGTGATTATGTTACCAACTTCTTTCTTTCGTTAGGTGATCGTATTATCAACTTCTTTCTTTTATTACACAGTTATATTATCAACTTCTTTCTTTTATTACGCAATCATGTCATCTTTGTTATGTGATCATGTTACTAACTTCTTTTTTTCCCTACAGTCATATTACCAACTTCTTTCTTTTATTACGTGGTCATTGATTACACCTTCAATGGTACTAGAAAACTTTAACAATAAGAATTCATACAAATTCAATATCAATCTGTGATCTCTTAACCAAAATTCCCTGCATAAAATTTTATCCAATCAAAATTTTTGGGTTGATCCAAACCAGTCAGGTTATATCAGTTCGGGTCCAAGTACAACCTGACCTGAACTCGACCCAGTTTTTTCGGATTGAAAAATCGTGATCTGAACCAGGATTTTCAGGTCAGATCCAGGTCAGGTTTCGGATTGATCCAAACTGGTTGGAGCATTAGATGAGGATAAAGGGAGGGAGGGAATAGAGAGCAAAGAGAAAAGGACAAGATAAAATAAAGTATGAAGAAAAGAAAGGAAAAAAAAGGAAAAGAAAAAATGAAAGAATAAAAATAGAGAAGCAAAACAAACCAAAATAATAAAAAAATTGAAAAGAGAATTGAAGAAAAAAGAGAAAATGACAAGAAGGAGGAAAAAGGAGATCAAAAGAATAAAAGAAACAAAAAAGAGAAATGATAAGGAAAAAAATGAGAGGAGAATCGAAAAGAAAAAAATGAAAATAATAAACAAAGTATGTGTTTAATTTTGATTGGCAAATTTTTCATTTATGTGGTGGAGATCAAATGTGGCTGATATATAGTGATCATCTTACTTTTGAATAAACAAAGAACGCAATTGATTAATTTACCAAATCGTAAAAATAGAAGTTTCTAATATTAGCGATAGCTTAATATATAACCTGATATATCTATGTTCACCCCACTCGATTTGGGGATGCGTTAAAGTATGATACTCATGTGACCTAACATGGGATAATGTGGTTGATATTCATTTTGGAAAGCAATCTGCCACTGTAGTCAGAGATCAATTTTCTGAGTGTGTAATATGATCTATAATAAATATCAAAACAATCTTTTTGCTTTACACTGACTTGTGTGTATCTACAAAATTACTTGCAATGTCTTGAAAGAGCTATTTCTTTGTAATGCTACTGGTGACATGTTCTTGATAATCAGAATTTCAATATAAAAAGCATAATGTGTTGAGTAAAGTATTTTTTTTTAATGTTGAACGAAGTATTTTTTTTTGCACTAACGAACTAAATTCATTTCTTGTTAATTATTCACAATAATCAATATAATGAATGATTTCTTTAAAATGAAGGGATAGTGAGTTTGTAATTAATAGTGTATGCTATTAATAGTGTTTGCTTAATCGTTTTTATACAGTGAACGCAACACTCTTTAAAATAACATCTCGTTATAATAACACAAAATCTCTTTTACTGATCACGTTATTGTATCCAGCGCCCACTGTACTTTGATTTTGGTGTTTGGAAAATCTTGCAACTTCAAATCGAAAAAAGTGTATCCTCTCTTTTAATCGACTTGAAATCTGCTTATTATTTCACTTAAGGAGACTCAATCTGAATTTAATTAATAATCACTTAATATTATTGTAAAAAAATCATTGTTGTAAAAAATCACTTAATATTATGCAATAGTAATAATAAAACCAATTAAAATATAATAATAAATATATTAATTTAAAACTGATTCTAAACTTATTTTCAATTTTTCCATAAATAAAATTGTTTGATCAATGTTTTTCCTCTCCTTAACTCATCAATATACATCTCTCATTCTTTCCATCAACTCATTTATAGTCTGTCATCAATTTTTGGCCATTTTCTCACTTTCAGTTTTAGATGTCACCATCTTTTCTAACTCGTGATGTCCATATATCTCAAATTCATTCTCTTTAAATATTTGCTGAAAATTTTTCCAAATACTAGTTATTAACAATTTTCTGGCTCCATAAATGTGCTCGTGAAAGATGTGTTGACAAGGTAACTGATATTTACAGAAGAACAGGCAATAGCAATCAGACGATATTAAATCAGGTGTTACTTTGCCATGTTCTATACTCTTTTCAATGGCACAGGCTTCATTAACAATTATTTGTTGAATGGGAAAAGGGAACTTGTGAATTTTATCAAGAATTTCACAGTCAATATCAGCAATAGAAATCTTCCTAGTACGAAATCCAAAGGCAATGTACTCAGAGTCTGAACGCTTCTTTGCATTAAGTAAAACAACGTGATGACATGTGCCTAAAAATAAAAAAATTTATTAGAATTAGTTTGACATGTCCATGTAATGAATGAAGAATAGTATCACAATCACTAGTAACATAATCCAATTGCTAACTCGCAAAAAGTTTTTTGCTGGTAGGATTATTTTTAAAAAACTTTCAGAATACAATTGCATAACAAATAAAGAAGACTAATAACCTGATCATGTAATGAACAAAGAAGAGTATAACGTAACCAATAGAGAAGACTAGCAACACCTAAGGATACTTGTCTAAATCCTTTCAGAAAAATATCATCATAATTTCGACGGGTTACACACTAATTGTTAATTAGAATTTTGACATAATT